GTAATACATAAATCAATTAGAGTTTGCGAAGTTAAAGTTATTCTAGTAGGTTCTGTAATCAGTTGATGAAAATCGTAAATATCTAAAATGTTTAAAAGTTCGGAGGTGTTAGAGTCGGGCGACCCTGAGAGCATATTGCAATTTATGTCGCCAAGCAGGGAGCATATTGCAATTTATGTCGCCAATGAGAGCATATTGCAATTTATGTCGCCAATTCGGAGTTTTCTTAGTCTGGGTTATATTTAATTTTAACTTTTCAACTGACATATATGCTGTGACTGTAAATAGCTGCAGTATGAAGCGATGACAGTGTGACTTATCCAGTAGCGGAAATTCACTTTTTCCGGTTGGGGGGGCAAAGCCTCCTAAATTTCCGACAAAACTTTCAAATTTCCGACATACTCCCCCCCATTTGCACTCGAAAAGACTGTTTTTAGCCCTCTTTTAAGTGAAAATTTCCGAAAATTCGTCAATCCGTGAAGGTGGGCGGGGGCCTTCCCCCCCGCCCCATTAAGATTTCCGCCACTGGACTTATCTTTTGTTTGAAATATACGACGGTAGTTCTAAAGATGATCTAAACAAGTATTTACTCATTTAAGCGCCGCGGCGCGCGCTCTTTAGATTTTTAGTGTTATACGGACGCGGTGCTTATTTGAGCGCGACGCTTGTTCGAGGGTGCTACTCTTTATAAAATATTTTATTTATAAGCGATAACAAGAAATATTAGCAACAAAATATAACATAAAAACACTGAAATCGCATCCTGGGCCGGTTGTATAAATGGGAGTGTTCTAAGTGTTATGCAAAGTAGCCACCTCCACAGCCATTCGCAGGCAAAAACACATAGAGATACATGTGACACCTCCTCCGCAGGCCGTAATGAATCCCCTCATTGAGACTTTGACCCGCCAATTTTTTACCCAGGCGTGAGGCCTAGGCACGAGCCCGTTTCTTACTGCATCGAAACATACGAGTTTGACTAATGGTCGCGTGTCGCGGGTAAAATGTCGCGGGTAAAATGTCGCGGGTCGCGGGTAAAAAGTCGCGGGTCGTAAAAAAGCTCTAAACCGTGTATTTTATTGAGTCGCGGGTTGAATAAAGTGTGGAAAAATCACATTATTTAGTTATTTAATGGTTTTTGTATCTGCGAAGCAGATATATATGCTATCGCAAACGTGACCGTACCGTACCGTATGTTAACAGATAGCCATTCAGCGACGAGCTTATATAATTCAGCCAATTTAGGCCAATTTAAGCCAATCAGCGATCAGTTTACATCAATTGTTTACATCTTGCCCGCATCCAACCTGCGACCGGGCGGCGTTTGGCCTCAAAAATTTGGAGCGGGATTTTTTCATTTTTCATTTTTCATTATTTCTTGTGTTTGAATTCTGCTTGTCAATAATTTCCTTGACCCATAAAAATCTGAAGTAAATCGGTGTATAATTCATTTTAATTTAATACGTCCTACTCTACAGTATATTTCTACGCATACCAGGGCTGACATGAAAAATAGAGGCATTCTGGCGAGTAATGTCTTTAGAAAGATACAATTTGAGTTGCGCTTGCGGAATGCAGCAATAAGACTTTGATCTGGAGATCAATTTGGTGTTTTATTAAACCTATTTTTCAAAAATAATGAATAATGAAAAATTTTCGTGCGGCAGATAAAACCCATGCGGGCGGGGACGAGAAACATGATATCAATTTTCATTGGCCTAAGTAGTCAAATACCACATATTTATTATTTTATTATATAGTTATACAGCAAAACAATCATTGTGTTGTGTAATATTTTAAACAGTCAAAACCTCTATGGTCAAAACATATACATGTAGCAGGCAATATATTTGTCAATGAACAATGTCATAGGAAACTAATGTTCTCAGGAGATATTGAATTAAATCCTGGTCCTGCATTTCTGTAGTAAACTCTGTGCCATGTTATCAGTTAAAATACTTATACATTTTTGTTTAATTTTACAGTGATTAGAGTTTTTCATCAACATTTTTAAACAAAATGTTTACAAACATTTTCAAATGCTAATAACAGAATCCCCACTCTCCTTCCTCATTGGCCCTCATTATATTGTTATTTTGCTTTCTAACATAAATGTTTTTGTTTCTAGATTAATGCAAGAATGATGAATAAATGTACTGGATATTGGCTAGATAATTTTGTCAGAACAACCCACTTGCAAGACAATCTTACCTAAATTCATTAGTATGAATAATAACTTAACAGCTACAATAATCATATATTATATGGATGGATCAGATCAATGGCACACAATATGTACAAAACTAAACTTGTGATACCTTCTACACAAACTGATATTCTCCCACAACACAAATTGTTTTTGTGTGGATATGCTGTGTTAAACCGAACAGTGTGGTATATCCTTAACTGTGCACAGGATTGGAATTGAATTATGTTCTGGCCACTATGGCCCCTAGATACTTTCTAGATAGACTTTAATATTATTCACTCGTTTTCGCGGTATTTTTCCGTAATCGCATCTCATTAATAGCGAGCCAGGGGGTATTTTTACCGGTTTTTTCTCTGGCTCGGTTCTCACGCCTGAGTGAGCATTCTTTTTTTACAAAAAGCGAATAAAAGCATCGTTTAAACTTATTCGTCTGTTATACTACTGTTGAAGGGGACAAGGCCTTTCCCGAAGGAACAGAATAGTAAAAAAAGAGTCACTTTTCTGGCGTGTATACATCGAGAAAGACGAACTGACTTCGAAGATATCTTTGTAGCGTGCTCGAAAATCGCTACAAAACGGCTTCAACTACAGAAGAAACGACTGTTTTACAACGAACAGCTCAATGGCAGATAAAACCACCGTCGACAACCCCGAGGTAGGAACACTAGATACGTTTTTATTGCAAAATACGGCTGAAAATACGGTAGAAAATACGGGTCAAAACGAAATAAACAGTACTAAACCTGATAAAGCAAGCCCAGAAACGGACGAAAATACTCTGTCTGTCTCGACAAACGACCCATCCTCTCGTCCCAAAAGATCAGTAAAACCCACCGAAAAGTCTATCGAAAACAGGGTTCAGTCTGATCATTCAAAGCTTGACAAATTGTGGCGAAACACGTCAACTGCTGTGGGCAAATTGCAAGAAACACCCGATTTGCTAAATCAAATAAAATCCCATACGTCAAAAGTACGTTCGCTATTCCACGAGTACCACGCTGTTTCTTTGTCGCTCTTAGAGTTTCTCGCTAACCTCAGCGACCCCAAACACCAAAAAGAATACGAAACATTGCATAAACTCGTAAATAATCGTAGCGAGTACATTCGTACAGTAATAAACGAAGCAAACGAGCGGAAAAAGGAACTTTTGCTTGAAATTAACTCTGTCCACCATTCCCGAATTTCCCGTAGTTCTCGCAGCTCCGCAACATCCTCCACCGCCGCTCGAGCTCTTGCAAGAGCTGAGGCTACAGCGGCACTAAAGAAGGTAGAAATGCAAAAATGGCGATCATTGCGAGAGTCCCAGTCTGCCATGGAAATACAACAACAAGAACTTGCCCTAGCCCAAAAGAAAATGGAAGAGAAATCCCGAATGGAAAGTTTGCGATTAGAAGAAGAAGCAGCAGTCGCCGTTGCTAAAGCTCAGGCAATAGATAAAGAACTGAGCCTCGTAGATCATCAAGATCCCGAACACTTCGACCTACCCCAAGACGATCCTGCGGAAAGGGTCCAAAACTATATAAATTCGCAACGCTTCGAAGAATCTAACATTGGCCAAGACTCTAGTCCCCCTGGTCCAAATCATGTCATCAGTCCACAACTCCCACAGAATACCAACCATCCTATACGAGAAAAACCACTCAACCGAAGACTAGACCCAGCGGCCAACTCGTTTATCCCTCAACCACAGAACTCTCGGACAGACCCCAGTACAAATGCTATAAGCTCTTACATCCAATTCATGGCACGCAGAGAGCTTATCGCTAATAAGATTCAGAGATTTGACGATAATCCCAGAAATTTTTACGGTTGGAAAGAATCCTTCAAGAATATGATACGAGACATTCACCTCTCCCCTAGCGAAGAGCTATCACTCATCATAGCGTATACCAGCAACGAATCAAAGAAACTTGCTCAACGGCTTCGAAACGCATATATCAACAAACCCACTGAAGGCGTGGAGATACTATGGCAAAAACTTAGCCAGCGGTTTGGTTCCAACGCGGTTATAACTGAAGTACATTTGAACAAACTGAAAGATCTGCCGAAAATCGGATTTAGAGATAACAAGAAACTCCAAGAACTCGGAGATTTGCTCTTAGAATTACAGTGTGCTAAGAACGACGGCGGATACAGAGGCCTCAGAATCCTCGACGAGCCCGCTTACATTAAACCTGTCATTGCAAAGCTCCCTGGCGATATCCAAAGCAGATGGCAAAAGCACGCCTTTCGATATAAGAAACAACACGCCGAGGTTGACTACCCCCCATTTTCCGAGTTTGTCACCTTCATCCAGGAGTTGTCCCTCGAAAGAAACGATCCTAACCTGATCATAGAGATTCCCGAGAAGAAGAACACAGGTATGCGAAACCCGAGCTGGCGACAAGAAATTAGTGTAAAGAAGACTGGGATCGAGGCCCAAGATCGCAGAGTCGGACACGATCCCCAACCTCGTAACCCTACGAACTGGTGCATTGTCCACCACAAAGGGCACCCACTAAGCAAGTGTAGAGCTTTCCAAGCCAAGCCACTCGACGAAAGAACTACAATACTAAGAAAGAACAGAGTATGCTTTCGCTGTATTGCATCGTGCGATCACCTCGCGAAGGACTGCAAGGCCAAGGTCGTGTGCACCGAATGTGGAAGCAACAAACACCTCGCCGCACTACACGTTGACGGTGAGCAAAGGCACGGCGGGGAGCAGGTAGCAAATAAAGACCAATCCGATGATGGCGCTAACCCTCGACAAAACCAGCACGCGGGAGAGATTACAACCAAATGCACCGAAATATGCGGGAATTCCCCCGGTGGGAAATCATGCTCAAAAATCTGCCTAGCCAACATATACGTCACCGGACATCCAGAAACCAAAGTGAAGGCGTACGTGGTAATCGATGATCAGAGTAACAGTTCTCTAGCAAAATCCGAACTGCTCGATCGCCTAAACGTTCACGGTCAAGCAACCTCGTATTCGCTTAGAACATGCGCCGGAACAACTCAGATTCGAGGAAGATGCAGCAAAGATCTTGTCGTAGAGTCTGTAGACGGTAATAAAAATCATCAGCTGTCGAACGTCATCGAATGTAACGCGATCCCTGATTCTAAAGAAGAGATACCTTCGCCAGAGGTAGCCCGAGCTCACCCACATCTACACGAAATTGTTGACAAAATACCAGAGATCCGCGGCGACGTAGACATCCTACTGCTCATCGGTCGGAACGCCCCTCCACTTCAAAAGGTTCACGAATCCCGTAACGGACCTAGAAACGCCCCTTGGGCCCAGCGTCTTGATCTAGGATGGGTCATCATCGGCAACGCTTGCCTGGACGGAGCTCACACACCGAAGCCTTCCTGCTACAAAACAAACGTTCTCGAAAGCGGCCGACCATCAATCCTTTCACCCTGCCCTAATCGTTTCCACATCAAAGAGTACACATCCACCGTTTCTGCCGTCCCCTGCGACGAAAACAATCATCAAAGGAAAGAGACATTCGAAAACGGAAACTTTGACGATGGCCTAGCAGCCAAAGTGTTTGCAAGCTCGAAGGACGACAACAAACCTGGTC